TCATTTTCTTGAGTGTTGTAGATTGTGCCGTACGTGACTGATAAAAGATCTTTCCTAGCATTAAGGCCAGTCACAGCACAAATAAATCTGGAACAAATTCTGAGAAAGCATGTAATGTTATGACTGGCATATCTGTGAGCGTGGAGCACTGCTTGAGAATTAGACTAAAAGTTTGCGAAGTGCTAGTGCTGATGTCACTCCCTTGGAATTGAAAGGCTGTTGAAACAGTAAATATTTCTGTGGCCAGAAGCTAAGTCTTGATCCGGACCTTTTCCTCTCTGTGAAGGAAAGAATGCAGAACAAACCTAAAATGTGTATTTGCAATGGGAAAATCTTAATTAGTTTAGAGCTTTTAGCAATTTCAAAGCATTTACATACACAGCTGCTGTTCATACAAACATGAAAACTATTCATGGAAACTTCAAACTCACCTTGAAATCCCAAGTAATTTTTTTCCTTTTTTATAAAGCTGTGCTTGGTGTTCAAAAGTATGGTTGGAAAGGTCTGAAAATTATATTTGTACTTTACGTGCAGAAAGGAACATAGGCACAGGCTAATGGAAGCATATAATAAAAGGCTTTAGTTGAGAAAGTCTTAACATTGAAACCTTATTAGCACCAAACAGCTGCTAGGAAAGTGTTTAAATTTTAGGGGCATTTACTCTTGGTTTTATCTGTGAAGTTTTTGTTATGACCCAAAACTCTGAAAAAAGAGAGATGACCAAAATACAAACTTAGATATTCAGAGCTTATAGCTGACTTCTCTGCTACGAGAGGTTAACCTGTAATATTGCATCCAAATAACCCACAAGGAATTAGAGCTTAATGCTGTAGCTTGGGACAGTTATAGTAGCTCTTAGACACTGAGATCTACAGGATAATTCAGATTTTTGTAGTGTCCCTCAGAGGACCCCATTGAGCATTCACAAGGAATTCATCCCCGCCCCCAGCTTCCTCCTTGTTGGAAGAGGTTTGCCATGACAGATGTGGGGAACAGATGTTGAGAGGAAAAGTTATAACGGGACAATGACCTGAAGTGTTAGTTGGGCTCTTCCTTGACGTGACTGAACTTATGTTCCCGATGGCAAAGGAGGAAAGCAGCATGTATCCACTGCTTGTCTCTGCAAGCCCCAGTGTTAATGTTGGGGGGGGGGGTGTTGACATACAGAGCTTTTATGTGTTCATGTCAGATACTCTGTGCTCAATTAGCTGAGGATGAGAGAGGAAGGGACAAAGATTTAAAACCAAATGAGCCGTGTGTTATTCAAGGACAGTTAGTGCGAAGTGGGTGAATCATGCTCAGCCACACACCACCTTTCCCGAACAGCTGTTGGTAGCTTTTTTTCTGAATTTTAGTCTCCTGTTTTACATAAGGATTTCCTCTTTCCTTCTTCCTGTTCTTTCCCACCTTTTCACCACTGCGTCTGTGATGCCTGAGAGATGTTCATGCTCCTTGTCCCTAACTGCTTCAGACAGCTAGTCTAGTAGAAGAGTCCTCAGTGGCTGATAAGTAACAATAATAGTGAGCTAGGAAAAAGGGCCTTTGACCACTTGTGCAGTACGAGCATAGAGCACATAAGATTTATTCCCCCCCCCTATGCTTTTCTATTTCGGAAGGATTTCTGCTTCTTGTTGGCTTGGGAGAAAGATATTGAGCTTCATACTTAACTTGTTATGAGAGAGGTTGGCAGGTAAGACCAAATTCCCTACTGGGAAGAGACTCAGAACAGGTCTTGTTCACCTTAGCTTAGCCTAGCTCAGGAGGCTGTAAATAATTATGTTTATTACCAAAAGCAGATCAACCATCCATAGAAGCCTGAGAATTTTTCTAGCTTTTGGAATGGGAAACTACGTATTTGAAATACCATAATAAGGTGACAACTCTGTGAGCTACTTTCTTTCTCCCCAAAAAGGTTATCTTTGGTTTTATTAACAAGATTTTCCATGGGGCAGTTTTGCACTGCTTTTTTTTCTAGCTTTTAGACAGAGGTTGGACTTGATGACCTCTCTTGAGGCCCCCTTCCAATCTGAGCTATTAGCTGGTGCTATTATAGCCATCATTTATGTTTATTTACTGCTTTCTGTATTTAATTTTACATTTACTCTTATTTTGATAGGGCATTGCCTATTATCATGGTGGGTTTTGTTTCAAATTCAGTGGGGAGCTCAAAGGCACACACTGTCCTTTCCATACAGTACACTGATTTCAAAGCTTGCGATGAAAGGACTCTTCTTACTGTAGACTGTTCTTTCTTTGCTGTTGTTCTTGTAAAATGATTCATGGCACTAGCAAATCGGCAACACGGGTTACACTGGCTCTGTAGGTATGAAGAGGTTGGACTGTGCCACATGTGCAAGTGATCACAAGGGAGGTTTAGCATGAGGGATATCTGACATAGTTGGTCAGCATATCTGCATCATCTGATCCATCTTACTCCTTAGAGAATGTGATGAAGCACCCATTCATATGTATATTATTCATCAACTTCAATTCAATTCTTAATTTATTTGCACTCACATTGTCACCTTAGGTCTGTGTATCTCCCATTCCTTCTTTCCCTGTCGCCAGAATCTTTGAGGACACTTCTCTTCTTCCACTTCCAGATTATCTGTATAAACTCTTTGTGACATAAATGTCCAAATTCTCTGCATAAATGTCCCTGTGTGCTCTAATAACCCCAGACTTCAGTCTGTCTGGTACTCAGAGCCTTCTCTTTGTGACTAAGCCACGTATTTGGGGGGCTAATATAAAGAATTTCCTTAGTAAGACTCTTCATTGAGGAGCCTGATTAAAGTACATTATTATTGTTGTTATTGTTGTTGTTATTGTCTTTATTATTATTTATTTGCTGAGTATATCCAACTCCTTTAGGTCTTAAAAGCCAGTTCAAAGAGCAGTTTGAACCCTCAACCCTGACCTGCGAGAGTCAGAGGACTTAGTTACTTTACAAAGCAGTCATTTTTCATAGGAGCTGGAAGTGAGGTTTCTTTGGGCTTCAGGGTTTATTTTCCTCCCCTGCTTAGTGTAACAGAGATAGCATCCTTGCTAGAAAGCAGAGAGAAGAAAGAAAATTCAGTCCACATGTTTGGGATTTAAGATTGAGAGTGATTCACGCTTAGCTTCTGGGGATTGTAATTAGGGGTGACATAACAACCATAAACTTTCAATAAAATAGTAGCAGCGTTTTTGTTATGCTCTATAGCTGCAGAAGCTGCTTCTGATTAGCATCCCTTCGAGATAAGCCTACAGGACCTCCACAGTTTTCAGATCTAGATCCAGGCTTTTGTGGCACAGTCCTACTTCTGTACTGATGCTGAAGGGAACCCTGAATTCTGAAACGCACCAGACTTTAGTGACATTTTCACTTGGATCAGTATGTCAACCTTTTCTTTTGCCATTTTAGACCATCTGTGTAGTTTTAAAGTAAGTATTATTATACTGCCTAAATCCTGCCAGTTTATACACTTGATAATACACTCTAGGGTTATCTAATGTGGAAAAAAAACCAATCATGCTATCCTCCTCTTCTGAATTATTACTAAACCTTTCTTTTCCAAGTGGCTGAGAATAAAAGGAATCCAGGAATGCATGGAGCAGAAGATCTGTCGTTCCCACTCCACACCAAGGTGCATTCTTGCAGGGAGAGATGGGCATTTACACTGGAGTTCTGCCATCAGCGTTCAGCCAATTCTAGTTTTTGGCAGCCAAGCACATGGAATTTTGAAAAAGAAGATCTACTTTTTTAAAGCAGGTCACAGACAAAAATAAAGACACATTCTTGGGCTACGAGAAGTAGGTCAGGCTTTGGGGAATCATTTATGAAAGCTGTTGATCTATTGTAACAGTTTTTCTTTGTTGATATTGTTTGCTTTCTATGCCAAATCTGTATGCTTTATATAAAGAGGTCCTGCTTATTTTGCTTTAGGTCTGATGTATTCTTGTATTCTTCTGCTTTGGTGAGCAAACTTTTTACATTAACAGTTAAAAAAAAAAAAAAAGGTAAAAGAAATACAGAAAAAAAATGTTCTTAGTTTTCCATTAGAGGATACTGTAGTGGAAAGTGAGGCCTCTCTATGCTGCAGTCCAAAAGGAATAAAGTTCCTTTGTGTCACCTCGTTACTCTAAGCTGATGTTTCATCCCAATATCCAAAGACTTTGGCTGGGGAAACGGATAGGATGGGGAAAAGGCTGATTCCACTGCTCAGACAATTACCACTGCATCACCTTCTGTGCTCAATTAATCTGTTTAATTTAGGGGAAGTATTTCGCACCGTGTCCAGTGATAATGCTGTGTAGTCCCTGCAAGAGCTGCTGTAGCAGGCACAAGGCTCAGGGAGGGAGGATAGATTACTGCTTGCTGGACATCTGAATTATTCTCACATGACTTTATTACTTCTAGAGTTGAAAGGTGGCTGTTAAGAGTTTTGAGCATTACACAGTAACAGTATTAAGGACAGGTCGCTGTAGTGGGTGCCAGGGCCTGGGGCAGGCACCTTGTGCCACTTGGCTGGGCTTCCCGAGCATAGGCTGAGGATGCTCATCCTCTCCAGTAGCCTGTGACTCTGGTGAGCAGGCAGATAGTCCAGCACTACAGCTGAAGGAGTAAGGGTATGTTTGGTTAACAAACAAGGATCAGATTCAGCAGTAATTGAACTGTAAAAACCCCTTAGCTGCTTCTATGGCAGAGCTTTGCTCTGTCAAAGCAAATCCCAGTTAATAACATTGTTTGTGAAGGACACCTCTATAAATAATCCCCCATTTCTGAATATCTGCAATCACTGCAAGTTTAATTTCCTCCTTTTTCTCTCTTACACTTTTTTTAATATTAATCCATATAACTCTGTACTTTAAATTCATGAGAGCAAAACAGCTAATGCTCATGTGTAGGTAATGTCTGTCACCTGCTCATGAATTCCTGAAGAGTTATTGACATAGCTGGCATTTTTGTTTAATTTTGGTTATTTATTTTGCTTCCTATTTCTACTTTCTCTATTTTACAGAATTTGATTCAGAAACAAAAAAGGTTCAAGACATTCTTTCTGGAATGGAGAAACCACAGGTATGTGATCCCAAGTTACCACACATGCACACAAAATAGTAAATGTGATAAGCAGGTTGTGTCACAACATGTGAAATCATCAGATTTCACAGAGGATCACCTCTGAATTTTTTCATTAGTAGATTGCTGCCTCTGTATGTATCTAACTCATTTTGCTAGGGATATAAATTTGAAACATCTCTTGTGCTTGTGGGTGTTTGTGGGCTCTGCCCACTGCAGGAATGGCACCAGTCACCTGTTTTTAGAGACAACTCCCAGAATTAATTTTGTTCCCCACTGTGGTAGGGAACCCAGTGCACTGGGGGTGATTTACATAGCTCTTCCCTGGGTTTAATTTTATTTGTCATGAGCAATTTATGTCTGTAACTGTGATTAAATTAAAGTAATTCTATTATTTAATGGCAATTACTATATTCTACATTTGTCTGAGCCATAAAAGCATGTGAATTGTAATGGAATTGAATTACCATGTAAATAACCATAATGCTGGGTATGACCACAATCAGGTAAGGTTATTAATAAATCTGGTTGCAAGCCCTTTGAATGTGATGGTTTTCTAGTTTGGTATGTCAAATTAAAGACAGAAGAGTGTTGTGGATCTAAATGAATGATCTAAATAAGCACTGGAAGAAACAGTCATGGGATGGAGGGAGATGGCTGTGCTTTGGGAGTTTACCTCCTCTGGTTTGTCTTTCTCTGATGAGGTAGAAGGCTAGTAAACAACCAGATTAAGAAAAAGAGTTGGAAAGCTTACCTAAAGACTGGTTCAACAGTGGATGATAGAAAGATATTCTGCAGTGGGAGCGTGAAAAGATATCTATTCCTTGGATGCAGAAGAAGCAGAACCTAGGGAGATGCAGGCAGGAGCATGGACTGAGTTAGGCTCTGTTCTCTTGGATGCCTTTGTTCTGAATAAGTACAAAAGATGTTTGGTCTTAAACTGCTCAGTCAGTAGGTGTTGGATCCTAGTGTCGTAGCATCTACAGAAGCAGGTTCAAAGCCAGCCAGAATCTAAACCAGGCCAGCAGAGGTGACAGATACCGGAAGGCTACAGCCTGAGTTTCTGTTTGCAAGAAGGCAAGTTGCTTTATTTCTTGTGGAAAAAGTGATAACAATAAGCTGAAGACTTGAGAGAAGAGTTTTTGGGAGATCAGAAGGGAAGAAAGTGCACTTATAATTAGGCTAATTTATTGTACAAAGTCAGTCAATATTTTTGTACTGAGAACTACCTGAATGTTTCTCAGCTGGTAAAACACCACACAATCTTTGTCTTTGACAAAGATCTGGAGAGCTGACATGAAAAATGAGTTACTTCATACTTATATCTATAGAGGGAGAGAGATAAGCTATTTGAGTAGTTTGCAGGGTTCTGAGCTCTGTACAATTAGAATTGCAGTAACCAAAGTGTTTAAAGAACAGAGGGGAGCAAAAAACGAAAAATAAACAAAAATCTTTTTTCTTGAATAATTTTAAAAATAGGATTTTTTTTTTAAGTGTTTTGGGGTTTTTTTAAATCTAAAATGTGGGAAATTCTACTTCCATGACAATGACATTTAATGAGAAGATGCTGTGGATTATCTCTTCTCTCTTTGACATTTGTGAGTAATCAAATTCATGGGAGTTTCCCAAACTATTAATAGACATGAATGATTATGTGTGTGTGTAGTCAGTATTACATCTGATAGAAATATCTTATTCATAAACAGTCTGCTGGGCTGTATTTCTTGGTGAGTCTTATGCATGTATGAATGAAAAATAAATAATGTATTGAAAAACAGTTGCGTGGAAAGAAATGAGACAACTGAAATGGAAGGACACCGAGCAGTAAGTTGGTGGCAGGTGAAGACATGCTGAGCCTGCAGCACATGGCTTTGATGTCAGTGGTGTGGAAGCCATCCAATGGGATTATCCCCCTGAGCAACTTCTGCAAGAGAATCTGCAGCTGCAGTATCACTTGGAGGTGTCTTTAATCTAGCTTGTCCAGGTACCTCTATGCGACAAAGTCTCTCTGACCATTCAAAGTACAAATTAGACACATTTTTTAAATTATTAATTTATTAAAAGTCTATTTTTTGTAATAGATGTTGTTACCTATTTGAGAGACATACAAGCAAACTGTAAATTTAATTGTATTTTTATCCCTTTGACAGCAAACATTTTAAAAGCAGCCTTTTGCTTTTTTCCCATATGTTTTTATTTAAAATGAAATATATTTTTAATTTGCTTTATCACAAAGTGATAATTCCTAAAACAAATACATCGGCGAGGAAAGGGAAACTTGATAATGGATTTCTGAAGTGGCTGGGGGCAACATTGCTATAGCTGACATCATGGCTGCCAAGCAGCTCAGGGGGACATCACCTCCCATGGGGAAACACTGCAGGTCCACAGTATTGGAGCTCAGGCATTAGGCTGACTTTCCAAAAGGCAGCTTGCTCCCACTGACTTGCTCTGCAGTGAAAGTCATATTTAATCATTGGGATTTTTGCCTAAAATTGTGGGATTAGAGCCATAGTTTAAAAAAAAAATCTAGACCTGGTAATAACCGTGAATTCATTTGACCCCCAAGTCTTTCAAATGTTGCCCTCGAGGGAGTAAATGAATGTTGCTTGCAGTGTAGTTCTCACACACACAATAAAGCCCCGAACCACACGATGCCTTGTGAATGTTAACCCAGAATTTGAAAGATAATGAAAGTTGTACAGAAACATTGTTCCTTACCTGAAAGACGGGAAGGGCCGATATTCATCAGTCTTGTAACCTTATTAAAGTAGTGCAGGAGCTGGATTCTTTCCCAGGGGCTTTTATAAAATAATTATTTACATCACCGAGTTTTGATAGCATATAAAGCCAGGCATTTTCTGTGTAAACGGAGAAGTTTTCAGAAACTAATTAACTGCACTTTTCACAAGACATACAAAACTCCTTGTGGGAGAATCTTTTGTTAGGTCTCGGCTAAAAGGCCAAGCCAGTCCTGTTCACAGCAAGCACAGCAATTCTGGGGACAGATGAGACAGGCTGGAGTAACAAGAAAGCAGCACAAAGGTTTACCTGCCTAACCTGTGAAAAGGTGCTCTGGCCACTTGTATTTTGGTTGGATGGAATTAGAGCACCATTAATGAACACTTATGTCTGCATGTTCAGTAGTGACATTGAGCCCACTATCATGATGTTAGCTGTGCTATTCCTTACAGCATGGGTAGGGCTGGTCCAGATCCTGGTCAGTGGTTTTTGGTAAACATTTGTTTTCTCAGGTGTAAGCAAGAAAAGTTGGAGTTAAAGGTACTGAGGCTGTTTTTTTCACAGCAAAGCTAGTGCTTCCAGCTCCAGTTAGGAGTGCCTTGGCAAAGTTAAGTGATGTCTTTGGCCATTAAATCAGATACCAAAAAGATACGCCTTTGGCTGATAAACATGATATGGTATCGAGCCTGTTAGTTGGCGAGAAGCACACGTAGACATAATCATAGAGTGGTTCGGGTTGGAAAGGACCTTAAGAAGGAGTGTTAGTCTCCCTCCTATAGAAGTGTATAGATTTGCGTTTTCTGGCTTTATCACGCAGACAGTGACCCCTCACTTGCTTTGCTATGCTTGCTGTGTGTGCTCGGTGCAGCTAAGATTTGTATTTAATGATTTCTGGTGTTTATTTTTAAACCTACCCCAGCCGTTACTGCGTACGTACCACCACCAAGGCAGGCCAGCAGCCACTCCAAACACTGTATCAGTAAGAAATTAATGATATAGCTGGAGCAGCTTACCAACTGGGTTTGGACTTCTGTCATCTGCATGGAAATGTCTGCACACTGACTTCAGAATAATAGTCTAACAATTTCTAGCAGTTAGTCTGTAACGTACTTTCTCTTGCTTTAAGAAAGTATAAAAGACCTAACTTTATACAGATTGCTAAAGTTCATGAAAGGCCAGAGCTTTTGCCATACTCAGAATATATACGTGTGTCCTTGTGAGTAGTCATAGAGAAAAACATTTCAATAGAACATTGGCAGGATATCATGCCTCCAGCTCCAAGTCTGTCTGAATTTATGAAAAACAATTATGCAAGCATATTTCCATAAAAGAAACTGCGTGTTGATGGGCTGAGCTGGTGTAGTGGTAATGTATGTTTTAAAAAAAGATCTATTTGGATCTTACAATCCAGTTTTCTGATCAAAATATTGTTTACAATACAGACTTCTAGCTCCAAATATCTTTGTCGCAATTTCATTCACATACATGTGCATATACATATCTCAAAAATTTAACTTATCTGTCTTATTTGGATCATTATAAACCATCTAATTCAGTATCAGTGTTCACTGGTCCAAGTTTATGAAGCGAACATTAATTTCATAGCATCAGAAAAATGTGCTAGAGCAAGAAATCGCATGAAAATTCATACAAGAATTTGCATGTTCATATTTAAAAAAAAAAAAGGCTTGATACTACTTAAAACTTCTTGCCTTACGACTTGTTTTTCACATTAGGCCGAAGAGAGGGTTTTTTTTTTGACAAGGCTTAATTGTGCTGCTATAAATCAAAATCTTTAACTTTTGAGAGCACAGTGTTGATGTTTTGTGGTGTCACCTACTTGTCAGTCTGCTAAAATCAGATTTATTACTTGCTCAGAAAGAATTTGCTTGATATATGGGTATCACACACAACAGTTGCAGTGCTCTTCAGCTGGAAGCAATGTGTTTTCATGTGAGAAGCCATTCTAAGATCCAGAAACTGGATTTGTAAACAAGCATTTCCTGAAAGCTGATGGCTCATACTTTATTACCAAATCATTTATGGGTAAGGTGCTTCAATTGTTTCAAGAACAGTGTAGGAAATGTCTAACTAAGCACCTGCATCATTTATCATACACCTTCTGAAATAAGAATGTTTTGCTCTGTGTGTTGGAGAAATCTGTTAAAATGATAGAACCAGTGAAACTTGACCCATAGGAGAAATGGATAAAGAATATAAAAACTTGTGCTTTGATTCCTCCTCATGGAGGCTAGCTAAAAACATTTTTTTTTTTTTACATTTTCACTACAATTAAGAAAGAAAAATGTAGTTGTTTTCATTAGAAAAAGTAGAGTTTGTGGCAGGGAGCTGGAAGCTGTGGAGAATTTGATGCTTCCCTGGGCTTTTCTCAGAAGGTGTACATAAAATGTGCTGTCTATGATGCTTCTGCTACTACGCCAGCAGGCTCTCCTTGTGAGAAGGGCGATGCTGGTTCTGTAAGCTTGGTCAGTCTACAGTTATGTGATTGTGTTTCCAGAAGAATACAGCTGCACTGGTGGGGTGATAAAGTTGTTTTGGTGCAGGGCTTTGAGGTATTTTTTCTGTGTTTTATTAGGAGAGAGTCCTTACCCATCTGCCATTGAGGTGTAGTGCCCAGGGGAGACCACAGATCATACATGCAGTCTTTCAGGGCACAAAGTAATTGATTCGCAATGTAATTTTTAATTGACAAGTTAGACTTCTGTTATGATTTTCCTTTGTGCTTTTGAGTCAGTATAACTGTGCAGGTGTAATTGGTTGGGGAGGGGCAGGGGAGTGGTTATTTGCAGTTCAATTCCAGCAGTTTCAAATTGCGAGAAGGAGCAGGAAGACTAAAGAGGCTATCAGAGATTTATTAGAGAAGCTCCGTAACAAAAGCTTTAGAAAAATAATTGCAACAATCCACATAAGGTCTTTGTTCCACTTAGTTCCACTTCCCTTCAGGTAATGGCCACACAACAGGTACCTCCAGGATGATGCAAGACATCCTTGGCCAGATGCTCAATGATGAGCCATTACATGGCAAGGGGGCATCTCTCTGTATTCCTCATCTGTTAGAGATTAATTTATGCCATGAATATGTAATTTTTTGTGTAGCTGATGACCATTTCTGACACTTTACTTTTTACCTCTAGCTCTGGAATTTCCTTTTCATGAGAAATGATTGTAAAGATGCAAGCAAAAAGCAAATATTTGCAGGATAGTGTTTTTCTGGGAATGCAGACTAACTGATGTTTCTTTTATAGGTTACAAATATTCAAGCAAGAACAGTTTTACTTTCCTGGTCACCTCCCACTGGCCTTCTAAATGCAGATAGACACAACAATGGTTTGCCTTACACCTGTACCTACGAGGTTGCCTTATCGGATAAAGGGAGGGATGGAAAATACAAGATAATTTACAGGTAACAGCATCATTTTTATAGTTGTGTTTTTATTAGGAATAAACTCTTTGGGCTTCTTGGTGTATATTTTGGCATGCACATCAGTCAGAGAGAAAAGGCACATCTGAACACCCTGTAATTGCTCCCTCACTGTCCCATCAGCCCCCCCTTGCTGGAATAGCTTACAGGGAGCTGGTTGAGTGCATGTTGCAAGGTTCCTAATTGCCTTCCTTTCCCACATCCCCAGCACCTGGCAGATCTTGCATGTGATGCTGTCACTCCTGTGCTGATGAAAAGGTTACTTTTTCCTCTTATGCTAAATGTTAAAATCTTTCGTGTACACCATGCAGGCGAGATAGCTGCCTTCCTAATGGGCTAAATTTGAGTGCACTTGCAGAATTAAGAACAGTAAAGCTTGCTTTTTGAGCTAACGAGCAGAAGTTTGAGGGCTTTACTGCTTTGTAGCATCTTAAATGAGCAGAGGATGGAGTACGCCATCAATAGACTGTATAGGCTAGCCAAAAAAACCCAAACACTTGGCTTTCAGCAGTCTTCATTAAAAATTCTGATGGATTGCTCTCTCTTTCTTTCCAGTGATCCTCTGAGCTCATTCTGTGGTCAAGTACCTATGGCGTTATGCTTTTCTTTTTCCACCGCTAGTGACGTCTAGGAAAGAAAATTTTGAGATGTGACTGTGGCTTTTGTGAAATAGCTAATCCTTCCCCAGTCTCGTTAAATAAAGTCCAGGCAATCCAGCATTTATGGAGTTACCTCTCAAGACCAAACCATCTCCTTTCTTAAGATGTCCTGTGAATTAGTGTATTCCTCTTATGCCAGAGGCATGGATCTTTGCAGATTGAGTTGTTTGGTAATATAGAAAGAGGTTATTGACCAAGAAAATGCTGCCTGGTTTTTTGTTTTCTTTTCTGGTATTTACACTAGCTAAACTAACTGGTTTCTCCCACTAGTGAGCCAGTGCGAGCATCTATAAAGGTTAATATGGGCTGCTGAGCTCTTAAAATGGGAAGGACACTTTCTAGTACTACTTGTACTTCCTGATGTGATGGCTACACATTTTCTCATGGTTATGAAATGTTGTGCATCTGGTTTAAAGCTGCTATTAGTAATCTGTCTCCTGCTGCTGGCCAGAGTACAGCCATTAGCTTAATATGGTACGCTCTGTCACAAGCAGCAGTAATCATTATTACTATAGGCAAGAGAAGGTCTCCAATATGCTGAATACATTGTCTTTGCAAGGAGGTGCACTCATTCAGAGGGGAAAAAGTGAATTTGCAGTGCATTGGATTATATGAAGTAAAGAAGGGGGTTTTGGTGGATTTCTGGCAACCCAGCAGGCATGTGCTTTCTGGTTGGTTTTGTTCTCTTGATTTTTGAGAGACCTACCTACATTTGCCCAACACCTCCTGTGTAATAATTCTTTATGCTTAATCGAGAATTTTCTTGTTTCCTGTATTTTAATAGAATCATGAGTAAGCCGAACACACGAGATGGATATTACATATTAATTACTGACCATCATCTTCACAGAATTGTCAGCACAGGATTGAGCCTAGTGTTCTTTTACCAGCAAACAAACCAAAAGGAAAAAGAATAGCCATAACTATGTTGGCTACATTTGAAATTAATAAATTATATGCTGGATTTTTCCTGAAGTGTCTGAAAGTCTGTGTTTTTACTTTTCTTGGTATTGAAAGAGATCTGGGTCTAGCTGTTAGGGCATTACTTAAATGTCTCCTTGTCATGGTCCTCACAGAGAGCGTGCTTCTGAAAGAGAGAGCAAATAAGTGAAAGGATTGTGCAAGAAAATACGCTTTTTCTCTGAAGTTCAGTGACTCACTTTTTATAAAGTATTTTGAAATACTGAATGTGCAGAAAGTACAAAAGTAATGATTCAGTTTGGCTCTTTTCAGCTCAGGGAGGGTTGAAAACTCTATTTGCGTTATGCACATATCAACAAAATGTAAGGATAGTATTGAAATAAATCAGCATAACTAGTTTATTGTTTAAATTGAGATGATTATTACTTTTCTTTCATGTATACGGAGCTTTGTGAAGTTTTCAAGAAACAAAAATTGTGTCAACAAATTATTGGTATCTCGTTTACTACTGTTTTTCTGTGGTGGGAAAACACCCATTTTCTTTCAAATCATAATATGAGGGAGCTTCTGGTCACTGAAAAATCACTAGCTGTGCTAAAAGTGATACTGCTTTTCATTATTTATTGATTTCTTGGGTTTGTTTTCTTTTTTCTGCAGTGGAGAAGAATTAGAATATAACCTGAAAGACCTTAGGCCAGCAACAGATTATCACGTCAGGTGAGTTAATTGGACTGTGAAGGTTGCTGAAATATAAAAACTTTTCAATTATATGAGAATAACTGTGAAAGTTTTTTACCTAACTATGCAGTGTAGCTCAAGAATTTCATGGTCCTCTCTGTAGGTGTGTTTTCAGTGGCATCTAAATATTTTCTCACAGATTTTATCTTGGACTTTTAAGTTACAAGAGTGCTTTTTGAACAGTACATTTTCTGTCATGTTGCTGCCATTGCTGTGATAAGAGGAAAAGAGACATCTGTGTATCTGTATTTCTGCCTACATGTGTAACAGGCCTGGCAGTGCTTCTGTAGGAAAGTGGGATTCCTCAAGTTTCTTAAAAATTTGACTCAAGCAACTGACATTTCTGTAGCTATTGTAACAGAGGTGTGCTAGCACTGAAAGTACTCCAGCACAGTTTCCTCATAAATACTCCTTGCTTCATGAAGTAAATTTGCTGCTTAGAAATCCATCTGACCATAGTAATTTCAGCATTTATTAGGAAAAAAAACCAAACCAAACCAACCAACCAACCAACCAAACAAAAACAAAACACCAAACCCAAATGGACTTGCACTGGTCTGTGGTGGTATTTTCAGGGCATGTTTCTCTTTGATTCTAAAAATGTGGTTTACACATTTGTTAACTGTTAACACATTCTCAGTTTTGCTCCCTGATGTTTTTAACACTGTCTGTGGTGGTATCTGCTCATGTTGCTTTCTTTTTTTTTAAAAGACTTTGCTTATGAGCCAAGGGTTCAAATTCACATCCTGTTCACTTATATCAATATCCTTTTAAAAAAAATCCTTTTCACTCCTGTCAATTGTTTCCTTCTGTTTTTCCAGACAAAGGCTGGATTTGGTGTCCTTTTTCACATCAAGGCTGCTCCTGTTAGTAAAATTTTAAAGAACATTTAGCTTCTTAGCTATTTAAAAAAAAACAAGGCCCAACACCAAAATGTCTTTCTTACTCTGGTACTAGAGTTTCTTGTGGTTTCTGAAGGATACTGTCTAGCGGAGCCTTAAAATGAACTTTTCAAGTATAAGAATAAGACCAGGAGTAACTTCTTGTACGTAAGTACAAGACATAGACTCCCAGGTCAGCCAGTAGTCCCAGCACTAGCAGCAAATGGATGGTAGCAAGGAGGAGAAAATTGTAGAACACTGCTGACCTTCCTGCTGTAAGCAGTGGAGCATTGTGTTAAAAGCCAGCTTCCAACAGGAGAGTGGTCACTATGCACAGCATGGCATTGAGGTCTCATGTGATTTTTAAGGGCACTGTGGGTATTTGCCCTATGTCCTGTCTGACTTCTTTCTCCCTACCGACAGCTCACTCCACCTTCACGCACGGGTGTTTGTCAAATTAAAAACTGTGAACACTTAGCAGTAACTTCATTTAAAAAGGAGAAGCAACTACTAAATATAAAAGTCAGACTTAAAAAGCAGCAGCATGTGTTTGGAGTGGAGGGAACCGACACTGAAAAGACATGCTGTTTGCTTTCCATGACAATTTTTTCCTTCACTGAAACTGTGTTATGGATTAACAACTGTGAAGAAATAAATCTGTTAAGTAAAGAAATTTATTGGCCAACCGTTACTCGGCAGATTGCCTTGGGTCTCCTTAACCTTGGCAGTATCTCTCCGGGCTTCATCTCCACACAGACAGGCTGCTTGGTCGTGCCCTGCTGGGCCCTGACACCCAGGACACCCTGGTTTGCCCTGAACCTCTTTCCTGCGTTTCTTCCAGTAGTATTACTTTGGTGCCTGCAGAGACGGCTGTGCTGAGTGTTTCAGTGACTTGCAGAAGATGCTCATTAAGCTCATTTTCACATGGTTGTATTCCCCCATGGTATGCATTTGATGCTTGGCTACACTCATTTCCGGCACGGGTACATACCACTCACCAGCTTCAGACTCAATTAACTGCTTTTGTTTTCACTCCTGACTAACAGGTGGTGGGTAAAGCAGCACTATAACAGTTCTTGTGAACTTTCCCACAAGGTTTGATTCTATGTAGGTGGCCATTGTACATAAATTACTCTTATCTACTGAAAACAAATTTAGAAATCACGCTTTCTTAAACTCTGCATTCAAGTGCACAATAGCTACAGCCAGCTCGGAGGTCATCATCTGGTCATGGTTTGAACTTCTTTTGAGTAGAAGACTTCCAATTTTCACTTTTATTTTGCTGCATGGAAAATATGCAGGGGAAAAAAATATCATCAATTTTTTCAGAGAAAAGCACCTTGTGAGGAGGTGCTCAACTACATTGTATTCACTTTCCAATATGTGACACATATATCCCCCTCTGTACTGATATATAGAGAATTTGCCCAAAATCAAAATTGCTTTGAAGATTTTTAGTTTAACCACAGCTGTGTAAGTTCTAATTCATGGAGGTCTGCTAAGTGAGGACACCTGGGCTACGTTGGAGAAGCTTGTAGCCGTAGAAGGAGACTAGCAGTTAGCACCACTCACTTGCTTTACATGTACCCAGGCATTAAAATTTATACCTTTTTCTCATTAATTCATACTTTCTGTTGTATTGCAAAGAGGATTTTAGCACATAGTGTGTGAAAGACTGGCAATAGGCAAGAAAATAGTGGTGGAAAGAAAAGATGATGATGATAACTCAGTGGTCTCTGGGAGTATTTGAACAAAACACTGTAATATTTCTCTTCTGCTGTGACTTTTATTGCTTACTTGTATGTGTATGTAGAAGTAGAATAATGATAGCCACTGGTCTGTGAGAAATCTGTCATTAGTGGATGGTATTGTGGATGCTTTGGTAGTCAAATATTGTGGCTGAGGCAGTGCTGTCTCATCTTGTAATTATCAGCAAATATATAACCCCTTTGAATGTTGTTTCCAGGGTATATGCAACGTACAACTCAGTAAAGGGTTCCTGCTCAGAGCCAGTAAGCTTCACCACTCACAGCTCAGTACCAGAGTGTCCCTTCCCACCCAAACCCTCGCACAGGACCAAAAGCTCCTTAACCTTGCAATGGAAGGTAGGTAATGCTTGCATCGGGCAAGAAAGCAGTGAAAAATACAGTTTACTTGACAGTAAGCATAACTGTTGAAAATAATTGAAAGCTAAGACAGTCATTTTTCAGTAAGGGACTTGAACTTGTTGTAATCTGACAAAACCCTTCCCATGCACTGACTTGACTTTTAAAATGCATGTGTTTCATTACATCCAGCTTCCTCTCAGTATTTATTAAGTGGTTGCCAAGCTATGCACAACCCCCAAGCTTTGGCTTCTCTTTAAACTTCAGTCATTTGCTTGGTGGGGGGGGGGGGAGGGAGTAGTTTTCTCTTAATCCCAAAATCAGCATTGTTTATTTTTCTTCATAGGCGCCCATTGATAATGGTTCAAAAATCACCAGCTACCTTCTGGAGTGGGATGAGGTAAGGAGTAGCTAGTTGAAATAAATATATAAATAAATGGCACTTGGACTTTACAAGGATTTGCTAAGTAAAGAAAAATAATTAAATACAGGAGAAAGTAGAAGTAAGAAAATGAAATCCTGATGGCATTAAGTAAAGAGTTCGAAAGGTTAAAGGGACGGGGGGGGGGAGTTTTAATTCACTGTATTTTATGCTGAGACAATGTTCTGCTTCTGTACTCTTATAATCTAACCTTTTATTGCTCATGTGGTACAGTTTATTTGTTAATTATCATTACTTGTTATTTAATGACTTGATGTATCTTAGAGTTCTGTTCATGATCTCTTTTTCTGGTTGATATCTGAGTGCAGAATAAATCATTGTTCCTGCCTCAAAGGAGAAGAGCCGTGATCTTGTGGCCCTTTCTGCAGAGAATGTATTCAGGGTCAAAATAATGATGCCCTTTACCTAGTGGCAATTAGTCCCCTCCCAGACACAAAACGAAGTAAGGTCTCTGTCCCAGATGTTTACATCATTAGTGAGCAGCTTGCTTTCAGGTGGATTGCCATAAGCAAGAGATGTGGGCTATTTGCTGGAGGTGGGCTCTGGTTGTCAGTTCTCCTTTCATCCCCTAATTCCTTTCCATTGTGCAAGCCTTATTTCTGCAGAAAGTATGAGTCAGTGAATATCATCTTTGAAGGAAAAAAATACGTGATGTTTGGAACCACTCACCCTGCAGATATTTCAGTATCACAGCAAGCGGGGACTATGTGATGAGAAACCCACTGAACTGAACTAAAATTAAACACTAATTTTAGAATCACTTACTGTCTCTCTCTGCGTAATGAAAGAGGAAAGGTCATCAGTGAAGAAGAAAAAAAGTGGAATGTAAGGCCAGGGAATGGAGATTTAAAAGACATTTCTCCAAAAGCAGGGGCCAGGATGATCCCATTTCACCTTTTCTGACACCTTAACTGTGCTGTTGTGATCTCTTGCAAGGCTTCCAGTAACTTGGAGCTGCGGGAAAGTAACAGTACCAAGCAGTGAAGCAGTGGAAACACAAATGATTCCAGCGTGCAAAGGGAAGCAAAAAAAGGTCTTGTCAGAAGAAAGACCAACAACAGACCATTAATACAGTGCAAATGCTTTTGATGTTAATTTTTTCCACATGGATCCTAGTCATAATTTTAGATATATGTTAGGCAACTCTAAAATAGCTTTGTCCTTTGAACCCTTCACTACTGAGTATATACCTAGACTTTGTCTTCAGAAAGAATTGTTATCACTCATCTATGTTTTTCAGAGGGAAAAAGTAGTTTGGTTTAGTCTAGCTCATGTACCAATGGTAAAAATGAATTCCTGATTCCCTTAGTTTGTCTGGTTTAATTACCTTGTTTTCTCAGTAACAATCGTGAAATCTGAGATCCCAGTGGACAGCTAGCCAGCAAAGTTGAAAGAATAATGGCCCTGCACAAATTTATTTGGTACATCTCCAGTGATTTGACAGGACTCCTGACTGACATGTAATTGTCTGGATGTTCCTCTGATATGAGACAGAAATTCAATTTTGAGTTGCTGAATTAAAACTTACTATTAAGGCTTACTAAAGAAAAAGTCTGAAGAGGTAGGCTGGCTGTGCCTGCATCTGCAGGAGCCTCATCTACCTGCAACAGTGAGCTCAGCAAGCTCTTCTACTCTTTTCCATGTGCCCTTGCAAGTTGTGCCTCTGACGTAGGGTGCAGTTAGATACTGGACTTAGGGCACCCAAGTACAAAAGAGAATTCACTTGTAATGCCCTGTACCTTTGCACTTGGTTGTGTAAACTCCACATAAGCAAAAACAGTGTTCTACAATGCCACACTGTGTCCTCATGAAATCAAGAAGTAAATACATCAGGTAGGAGGAGGACACTTGCCAGGCAACAGCAAATGCTCTGCCAGATCTCAGCTAGGGCAACATTCATCAGCTACAGGGCACAAAATAAAATATAAACATGGGAAAATCAGCAATCAGAATGAGGTTAAGTTGTGAACATAAAGCAGAGAGGACTTTGCATAAGTGGAGAACAAGAAATCTATCTGACGAAGTTAGACAAACACCCTAAAATGGCAGTCTGCCTTGAGAAGTTGAGTCCCTTCCTAGGCGAGAATAGTGGGTGAGAGAGCTGTGGAACACAAGCTGTGCTACACACTGCCACCACGGAAGGGGCTTCAGCAGCCCCTTTGTGCTCCTGCAGAGTGGGTAACAGGTTGTCTCTCTCTGAGGCAATTCAGATCTTGGAGCATGATGCTCAACAGTATCTCAACTTATTCCTCCTGTTTTTACAGTGTAAAGGCATAGTTTATAACATCTAAAATGCAGCCAGACGTGCAGGTGGCATCACTCATATATGCAAAAAATAAATTTGCTGTAAAACAACAGCAGAAGCGACATGTTTTACAGCACTGGGATTAGGTGAGGTTGTAAACTGCAACAAGAGGGGACAGCATCTCGTCTCTTTGTGGCTGCAGCTGGGAAGGCCCGCAGGGCTGAGGTGCTGCAGTGCCAGCTGGGTGCAGGGGGGTCTGCCTGGGACCCTGGGTTCAGCGGTCCTCAGCAAGCCCCATGCCACCACACCTGCCTACTGTAGGGTTCCTCACTGCTCTTCAGGGTCACTCTAGGGACTGGAGAAAGGTGGTTTTGATTTTGTTGGGTTTTTGTTATTATTTTATTTGTTCATTGTTGGGTTTCCTGTTTTGGTTTGGGTTTTTTTTTAATTATTATTTTATCACATCTTGCTGAGGATAGGTGCAGTACTGTCCCCATTCTGTGGTTTAGCTGTCTTTTCTCATATATACTTTAAAAGCCTTCTCTCACCTCATTAGATTAACTTTAGGTGAAATACAAATGAGTTGCTTTTGTTTCTTCATTGGAATTAGGTGTCTTCTGACCTACTTTGGTGAAAAGAAGGTTATACTGCTTAACATGTCACTGTGCCGCTCCTATCCAGCTGCTGCTTCTTCAGTTTGGTTCTGAGTTTTGGGGATTTTCCTGACCTGCAGGCTCTGGAAGATAGAGTAGTCGATAGATAAAGCTATTCCTGCTTTTCCACCTTTTTACCCTCCCAATTCGGATTAAATGGTTTGTAACATGACTAGTATTACATGTTTGTTAGAAAACATAAATACTTTCTTTCTCAGTGCTGACATAGGTCTTTGAATTATAGTTGTAATACCTTGCTTATAAACTGCTTTAGTTTCAAATGCCTGAAAAAGTATGGAGGATGATCTTTAACAGTAGAGTAAAAGATCAGTTCAGTGAGTTGTCACTTGGTAACACTGGATGTACACTGGCATTGGCTGTACATCCTCATTGGATGTATACAGCCCCTGTCCTCAGGTAATTTGAAATTCAGTAGGATCTGAACATGCCTGCACCTCCGGTGCTGGCATTAGCAATATTAGCCTGGCAATAAAATCAGTTAAAATTAGTATTTAAGGAAACTTCACCTTCTGGCTCATTTTCTATGAACTTCACAAACCTGAACCCTTTGAACTTACAAACCTGAACTAGTCAATTGATGACTTTGTTCCAGGATTGATTATTCAGGGTAAGCAAAAGGCTAATTAGAAAAAATAATGTTAAAAATATACCAAACAGAAAACAATGCTGTAAATGAGTTGATGCTTTCTCCTGGTGCCAGCATTCATCAAAATCAGTAAACTGTAATTACATTGAAAAATGCCGCTAGCACTGCTGTAAGAATCAGGCCTTTGTTACTAATCAGATGTGAAATGCTGATTCTGTGATTAAGTGATAGTAAATACGTGTTTCTCTTGTGCTTATGGATAGTGAGAGTATCCTGTCCATCCGTTCTCTATGGGAAAGTGGAGGACTGTTCCTTAACCAGAGAGGACATCTCTCTCATGCAGCATGTGTCGCTGTTTTATATATAACTCAAAAGCAGTTTTAATTCTGATCCATTAAGCATCTCATTTTAATTTGCTCAAGAGAGAGGCTGATACAGTACCACACTATTTGATGATCTGGTGATAGATTGTTAATTAAGTTTATATAGAGATAAATGGAGATACCACAAAGTTTTAAACTGCTTGAGGCTAGCAGAGGTGTTCTTTTTTATACTAGCTGATAATTGGGCCATGCATGTCAGCAACGGTCCACCAAAATTCAGGTACATGGAGCCCCATGCTTGTGCCTGGTTTGTGTTTGTTCACCTGCATGCCCTCTAGGTCTGTTCTGGAGCTATGCTGCTCCTGTGAGACATGCAAGAACGGGGTCTTGTACAAAACTGGGGGTTGTGCATATATTAGGAATGTTTCATAGGTCCTGTTGTGTCTTCTAAATGTTTGTATATAGAGAAAATTCAGTTACATGTATAAGAGCATGCACAATAAATGCTTTGCAGAGATATTAGGTTGTGTCATAGTAATTGTTGACAGTTTGCTCCATAGCTTTGTGTCAGATTGAGTACCAATCTGCTGCTTTTTATTGCCAATATGAGACAAACACTGAAGGTAGGCTGGCGTGGCCTGCAGCTTATTGCTGTCTTGCCTCCTGGTTGTAGATCTGATGATGACAGCTTCTATTTAGACTTCCTGCAGTGAGGTCCTGTGAAGGACTGTGCTCCATTTCTGTATCCACTGTACCTGCAGTGACCCGTTCTTATCGTGTTTATTTACTATCTCTGCCACAGGGAATGCAATCAACAAAACCCATTTAAAATCCCAAACCCCTTGTCTTCTCCAGGAGAAATTTAAGCACCCTGTTTTAAGTGAGTGTGTAGCTTGAAGTATAGCTGAAATAGCAAGCAAAATTCTTAAAAATTGAATTAAAATGCTGTGTTGTGCAAATTCTAATGGATTTGTGGAGCTGAATTGTGCTTGTTTCCTTGGACAAGCTCTGATCGTCACAGCGTGGGTGAGTCATGGGTGAATGTCTCACTAAGAACAGGGAATGCAAGCTGGAGAAAGGGCTAGTGAAGAAGTCAGACAGTGCTCTTCCTCTGAAATTTGTGGATTAGAAATATTTGCGGAAGTGATACAGTGTATTTTAAGCAATTTACGAAACATTATTTGAGGGATTAAAACTTGGATGCCAAGTATACAAAGAATAGGGGAAGGATTCTGGGAAAGCTGTAAGACTCTTGGGTGGCAGCCAGTACCAGCCTGCCAGTTGTTCCTGTCTATAATTATGCCAGCATTAGTGCTTTCATAAATCTTGGGAGAGAAGGAGCGAAGAGACTATTTCCAGGCTATTAATGCCCGGTTAATTAGAAATATCGGCCAGCCTCTCCAATTAGTGCCAATATAATCCAAAATACCAGCCAGTCTGAGTAACTCGAATACCAGTTGGTCTCTGTGCAAGTCTGGGGAGGGTACAATACCAGTTCTAGAAGAAAAATATATACTATATCAGAACTTGTACCGTTATAAAGATGGAGATAAGTTAAATGTTTGGCAACCTCTGTGAAGTTTTAGTCCACCAGTTGCCAAATTGGAGTTTTCTTGGCCCATCACTGTCACTTCAGGCATTGTGCTACAGATGAGAGATTTTCCATGACTTGCCTTTTTAGTCAGCCGTCACTGTTCTTCTCTTTATCAACTACATGCTTAGCGTTTGGTCACTTCGTTCTTTTGGAGAAAAATGACAGGAAAAGAATAAAAAAACCAAAATAAACAACTGTTCTTAAGAAATCAAAAAGAAATGTTTTCAAATGCTTTACAGATAGTGAAGTCATTAAAGAGAGAAAAATTAACTTGATGCACCTGAACCTGTGAAAGAGAGTTTGCATAAGGGGTAAAAAAAAAAATCTGTTCTTAGTAGTCCTGCACTGATTAATGGATATTTTAGTAAAACATAGGATTACTAATTAAGTTCTGTATAGTCTGGATTTATTTTAAATATGTTATTGCTGATTTGCGAAGTATGGTGACCGATTATTTTTATCCAAAAGGAATTTTATCATGTAACTCTAGATCTATGGATTTTAGATCTTAAAAAGTTTCCTCTTTTACAAAAGACTTTTCATTTAAGGTTCATGATTGTCTTCCAGTTCCACGCCTTAATTTACTTAAGCCACACAGTAATGTTACAGCTAGAGCAGGTGGGTGAAGTTGAAGACTCTGTAAAACCAAGTTCTAGAACAAGTGTAGGAGCACGCTGTATAAATAGAATTAAGTAATGGCTATTTGCCAGTGTGCTAAATATCCCTTCAGTGTCCTGAAATTGTGCAGTGCTGGAGGTCTGCACAGTCGTTTCTAGTTTGATAAGCACATTTTGGAGATGTACTGCAAACATTTTATGGAGTTCTTCCTTCTGTGCTGCAGTGTGAGTGAAAAGAAATTGATAGGGGCTGGAGAATGGGCCAGTGAAAAACGTCTGTTCTGCTCAGGCATTTTTGAGATTTTGGGGCATTTAAAGATGATGTGCATGATGAGCATGGAGGAAGAACAGTGTGTGGGAGGACACACAGCCCCCCAAGGAGGCAGCAGCAGGTGAGGCTGTTGGCTGCAGAGAGAGACACCTGTGTGAATAATCTTCCTGTTACTCTGCTTAAGCATAGAAACACCGAGTCTTCTGTCAAGCTCTGTGTGCCAGGTGAAATAAGTAGCCTTCTCTATGGGCAGATGTTCATTTTTATTTCATTTCAGTAAAATAGACCTATAGGCAGGTGCCAAAAATAGTGAATGCTATAGCAGAGCTCTTAAGTCAAAAGTTGCAGAAACGGGTGTAACTATCTCCTGCACCACTTTTTGCCCACAGGTGTGCTTTCTAGATTTCTCTTCTGGTGAGCTTTTGGGTTCTTCGTAATGTGATTATCCATTAGTTTTGTATTCAAGTACAGAAATTAAAACTCCTTTAAGCTGCTTCAGCTGAGGGAGATACTATTTATGTAGAGTTGAGCAGCCCATGCCCTTTCCCCTGAAGGATTTCAGACTGACCATTTTCCATGTGTCGCATAGGATAAGACCAGATACTCTTTTTTTGTCTTGTGGTCTGTGTCCTGCAAAAAGCTCAGCTTTGTTTTTACCCGATGGATACCAACTTGAGTGGGATTGAAAAGGATTTTGGTTTGGTTTGTTTTAAAAGTGGCAGGGAGGTAGAGAATTTCTGAATGTTCTTGTCCTCAGCCATGCTGGTTTGTACCCGAGGAAGGACTTGGGAGCTGGGGAGGTGTCTCAAAACCTTCTCTCACTGCTGCCCCATCTTAGGTTTGTCAGTGATCTTCATTGCTCTGGGTCATCTTGGTGTGAAGCTCCTATGAAAGCTGTCATCCAAGTTTCTTAACAAAATTGCATGCTTTATAATAAATCCTCTTTACTCATCCCATGCTGCATGCTTTGAGCAGTGGGATGGGTGCAGAACCTGATACCTTATATTTCCTCCATCTATTTTGCCCTCAAGAGCATGGGGCTGAGCAGGGGCTCACACCCAGGCCTGTCCCTCTCCGTGGCAGCTGCTGGGGTTGGCCATGGGCTGGACCGTGGGGAGCGAGAGCCCTCTTGTGGGGTAGACTGTTTTTGAAGGACCAGGGAGAGCTTACATGAGATTTGAGGTGCAGAGGGTAGCGCTTCCAATAACTGTTGGTTGCAGCTTTCCTATGCTCCTGTGACCAGGTTGGTTCAGATATTAATTTCGCCCTAAATTTGCATGTTTTTTTGTTAATGAATAGGATAGGTAGCGTTTCAAGCAGAATGACAAAAGCTGTAGGTACGTCTCACAAAGATGGGAATCTGACAGCAGACTGACTGTGTTGATTCGTATTATTTTAGGTAGCATAGCAATGCTGTCAGTGGCTTGCACAGCTTTCTTTGTACACTGCCTGTATGAAAGCATCTAATTCTAATATCACTTAATAGGTCTTTTTAAAAGAAGAACTATGTGGTTTTGCTTCATAGCTATCCGATTACAGATTTCTCTCTTTCTAGGGAAATAGGAACAGTGGTTTCAGAGAATGCTACTTTGGAAGCCAGAAGCATTGCAAGTTGACTAAGCTTTGTCCGGCTTTGGGTTACACCTTCCGATTAGCAGCTCAGAATGACATTGGTACTAGGTGAGTTACCCAAGGTACATGCTTTCTGGAGAAAAAGTGGTAATTGAAAAGTTTAATTATCAATGACAAGAGTAAAGAGGAATTTCTGAGGAGGTTTTGGGGGTGTATTTTTTTTTTCTTTTTATGGTTTTGCGTTAAATATCTGACATTTGTTCTATTGTTAATGCCTTAAAGTCACAGCTTCCCTGGTGGTAACATTCACCTCTCAGGGAATCACCATGTACCTTCAGCATGATGAGGTTAGCCTAAGAAGATAGGCTTCTTTTGAGGTGTTAAATGGTGTTTTGTGGTCTATTCCTAATACAAAAAGAATACATCTGTTATGTAAAATTCCCACTAGGGACCTCTGTGAACCAAGAAAAACAAGCAAGAGGAAGTTCAGTTACAGCTTTTGAAAGGAATCTTGATATATTTATTTTTTCTGGTTTATAGCAAAACCCTTCTGTGTTTTTCAGCAGTACAGTCCCGCCTTTCTTCCGCAGGACTGTCAGGGCTGGCTGATGGGGTGGGAAAGAAGGGTGGGAGAGCCAGGATGGAGAGGGGCCAGGCACACACCCATGGGCCTTACAAGATGAGTTTCAGGTTCTGCTTTTCTTTGCACATGAAGAGATGTGCTCAAATGAAGGTGATGTATAGTCAGACTTACTGCAATCCTCCAGGAGCTGCTGGGGAGCCCTGGGCTAAAATGTTACAGAGCTGGGGACCAGAGTTTGCCCAAAGAGACATCATGCTGCAGGGGCTATGCACTCCTGTACTCAAGGAAGAAAAGTAAGCCAGGAAGAGTTTAGCTGTGAAGAAGCTAAACATCCAGTGCTCTTGTATACTCCTTTATTGTCCTTCTTAGCTAAACAGGATCTAATCATTATTACAAGAAGGACAGAAAAAGGAACACTAGTGGTATATAACAATGTGTTTTGCTCAGACAGATTCCTGTATTGTTTGCTCTTCCAGAACACAAGTCTCTTAGTAATATATAGCTTTTAAAAGTTTCTTTATTCGTGTTCCTGTGTTTTCCCCATGAGATGCACTGAGGCTGTTCATGTGTGCAGAGAGTCCTTTTTGCCAATTTCTTGTAAGATTACTTCCCTTCTTATTGAAATAATTCTTGATGTGGAGAGGTAAAGAGGCTTGATCTGGAGCTGCTGAGTGTAAGTGGGACTGCCATTTTTGTGCAGAGTTCCCCACTTTGGCATCTCTTTTCTTTGCCAGATTCCAGATTTTTAAAATATCTTAGGGCATGCTTCAACTCTCCATCCTTTTTTTGTTCTCTCTCCTTCCCCCCCCCCCCCCCCCGCAGGCTATTGAGGGGGAAGTGAACCAAGAACTATATTTATGGTGAGCTGCTCTGTGTTAATCTGTAAAGATAAGCACCAACAGCACATGGCTTATTTTTATAGACAGCACTCAAAATTATAACATGATAATGTCATCCAGCACTTTGTGTCATAAGATGGGTTTGGTAATGCTTGTGGACTTACCATTTAAGGTGGTTATTGTCTTGTGGTGTTAGTTATAGGTGAATTTTTTTAACTGTAAGAATATTTCAATAAATATTTTTGTGAAAGAAGACTCAGAAAAATATGGCTTTTTATATTTATTAAACTCATGCCATGAGTTCGATGAACAAAATATGTTTGTGTTTAGGAAACAGATCTGTAAATTGCAAGAATGTTACCTTCAGTTGAGAGTTCTGATGTCCTCCTGAAAATTTGCCAAAATCTGTCCATTTTTAACTTTTGTTCTCGAATTTCCGTTGCATGTAATACATTTAGCATGGAGTCTTAAGAGAACTCTTCCTACACTTGCTTAACACAACTGCCTGTTACGTTTTAAGGCATTGTGTGCTGTGATGTAGACAAGATGAGATTGTCTGTCTCCCCTGTCACGGGTTGCAACCTGAGCTGTTCAAAAGAGCAACTTTATGCTCAGCTTAAAATGCAAAGACGTTTGGGCAGGGAGAGGTGGAAGGGAACAGAGCCAGCCTGGAAGGTTGGAAGGCATCTGTGCCTGCACCAGTCAGCTCCTACATGATGCTGAGCATGTGTGATCATGACTGGATAAATTTTCCCTGCGTTCTTTGGAGCGGGATGTCTGAAACAGTGGGACTGGATTTGCTGAAGCAGGCTGCTTTCAGAGGTGTAGCTTAAATATGTTGTCTTCTGAGTTTATTAAAGGTAGAAGCTGCATCTCAAGTTCCACTTCTGCAAGTTGAACACTTGAGACTTTATTTCCTATGTTTAGTTCCACTTTGTTACGTGAGATTTTCCTCTACTTCACAGTTCATAGTAAATATTTTTAGGCATTCAAATATTATTTTTTCCAATATTATTGGGATGAAATCTGTAAAAATGACTGTGAGGACACATACAATCCTGCATTTTTTGCTATTATTAGTTCTGGCATTTCCTAACCGGGTGCTCATATTTTAACATTTTTAACATTTGAAAATGTGAAATATTTCTCTAAACACACTGAGGTTTGTTTATTTTGTTTTGGTTTTGTTTGTATGTTTAATATTCCTCTGTTTCTGTGCAGTGCGTACAGCCAGGAGGTGGTGTGCTACACTACAGGTAATGTTCCTCAGACCCCTTCAGCACCAAGGCTTGTTCGAGCTGGTGTTACATGGATCACATTGCAGTGGAATAAAGTAGAAGGATGTACACCAGAGGAAGTGATTTCCTACACCCTGGAAATTCAGGAAGAAGATAACGTAAGTACCATGTTACTGTAAAGTATGCTGCACAAGCTAGATTGAGTTTTCACTTACTAATTCAAGATCACTGAGAAAACTGTGGATGTGGATTGCTGCTTTGGAGGGTCTTTGGGACTACTGTGTACTTGGCAGGACAGAGCTATGTGATTTGTTCTCCGCCACAGCAGAATTATGAATCCTTAGCTAAAAATCTGTACTGTCATCCATGATTACTTTGCAAAGCTTTACCCAACTCCACAAAGTACCAGGCAGCTTGTCCTTAACCAATTCAGTCTGCTGTGTCCTTCTCACTGCTGTGTGGTGCCCTTGTGTTCTCTCATCTGCCACTTCTATTTCTGTCACTGGTTTTGTGCTTTTTTTTGTGAAAAATATTAAGCACTTACTTTGTGCTTATATTGTGAAAATCATGTTATTCAGATCAGTTGCAACATCCTTCCAGAAGGAAAATTATAAAGCCTTGTGGCTTAGAAGTAACAATAATAATGATGATAATAATAAGCACTCAACTATAAAAGGCCCTTTACTATAATATACGTTCAGGCTATAGTACAGAGAGCACTTCCTCAGACTCCTCAGTTATGGAAATTTTTCTGGTTTTGAATTTTCTAGGATAGCATGTTTCACCCGAAGTACACTGGAGAGGAGCAAGCCTGTACTGTGAAGAATCTCAGAAGAAGCACACAGTATAAATTCAGGGTAAAATCTTTTTCTTCTTGTCCTGTGTAGTATTTTCTGTGTTGGGTTTTTTCCAGGAACAGTAGCGATCCTTTAGTACTACCTGCAGATTGGTGTCATCAAATACAAATTTACTTTATACTGTGACCTAATAGATTAAACTGTTGTATTTTTACTTTTATCACAGGAGATGCTTATTGCTCAGCCTTTCTGAAACAAGCATAGCTCTTGGTGCCATGTACTGTCAGGTGTGATGTTGGAAAAGTGCAACTCAGGGTGTGAAGTGCTTGTAGTCAGCTGCATTGCTCCCAAAAAACCTGACCCATCTTGTTTCTACACAATGGAGCAAACACTGTAAGCTCCATTGTTGTGCACAGCTTCCTTCCCCAGCTCAGTGGCCTATCCTCCCCTGGCACACAGAAATTGGAGCTTTTCCATCTCATACAGACATGTGGCTGGTTTTGGAGTTGGTTTTTAGCAGCAAGTGTTAGTATCTCCTGTTCTGTGGGTGCTCCTTCCCAAGAGAGAATGCTCTGAAGTCTTTTTGCAAACACAAAATTCAGTCATCTGTTCACTGCTGCTGGAGCAGTCAAGCACAACACAAGTGCTGGGTGCTGCTATCAAGGAGCAGACGGTGTGTTTTTTACCAGACAGGCTGTGGTGTGGCTGGCTGTCCATCCCCACGGCCAACCTGTCCGTCCATCCGTAGCAGCTCAGCAAAGCCAGGAGCCGAGCATGGCTCCACAAGGTGGTGTTTGGCTGTGCCCTCTGGAGTGCTGGCATCCCTCTGGAGATGATAAGGAGCTCTCTGTAAAGCCAGCATCCGTCATGCTACCACATCCATTATGCCAGCCCTAAATGGTATTTGGAAGCAGCTTCATGTGATTTGTAAACAGCACAGGGAGAAAATGATGCCATGCGTTTGAGTCAATTCAAGATCATTTGGCTTCTGTAGGTTGAAGTATATTCGGGGCAAAAAAAAAATACAACTTTACCTATAGACACATTTAAATCCTTAAAACCAACTTTGCATATATTCTTTGACTGAAGACCTTGTGAAGTTGTGTGAAGAACTACCCAAAGAATTGGAAAGTTGTTGCGGTGTTGCTCAGAGATGGTGCCTTTAAAGTTTAGCATTGTAAAAGCTGCAGTGGCTGTTTTAAGGAAAAGCACAGTGCTTCTCTGCAGCCCTGCTTTCAAATTAAATGTGAAGGTTGATACCAGAGCAAACTTGTCACCTCATGTCAGTGGCTACAAGCACAACTCTGATCTGACTCAGCAATGAGATGTTCCCTTGTTGCATGTAGGTCAGTATTAATTACCTACAGGACTTGGGAAGGGATTCTGAAAATGATAAAACACCACCAACAAAACCAAACACAGACACCTGGCATCACAACAGTGTTTAAAAACTTGTTGGGAGAGGTACTGGGCAAGTTCTACACTTGTCTTTGAACCTGGGCAAAATATGGATCTTTGGAGAACCCCCTTAATAATAAAGAATTACAGGGGTAATTTAATTTATACCAATGTTTGCTTACAGAGAAGATACCTTGCTAAAATTTTTGATGAAATAAAGGTTGGTTAATTAAAGTGGCAATTGGCAGTGTAGTACATTGTTGTAAAGGCATTTGTTCAATACAAAGTGAGGGTTTGGCACAGAAGGGCAAATGATACCTAACACAACAACGTGCAGAAATTTCATTCTCTGAAATGTTTGAAGTGTCAGAGTAGCAGGGAATCACCAAGGGCTGTTTCTAGCGAGGTTCCACGAAAAGCAGTGCTGTTTATACTATTTCATAATTTTATTGGTGACCTGGAAACAAAGTTTTATTTTTATTCCTTCTAAGAGGATGGGGGACTCTAGGTTGGGGAGGCTATGGCTCTGACAAGATGCTTCTTGAGCTATCCATTTAATTGGAATTTTCAGTTCCTGCCAGGCTAGTGCAGTCTTTAGCTGTATACATAGGGGAAATGTACAAATATTGCATTACATTAGTAGCTCACGTTGATTCCCTGGAGCTGTTACTGGGATATTTGTCCATCTCATGTATCTGGTTCCTGGCAAGATGTCTTAAATTGGAGAATAGTCAGAGAAGAACAAGATATGATACACAGGAGTTGATAGTGGCTTTAGTGACTTATTTAAAGCAAGCATACTTTTTGGCCTTAAAAGCTGCAAATAGTTTTCCTCAGATGCTTGTGTTAGGAGAGAGGATAGAAAAGACTGCTCCTGAGAATAACAGAGCTTCCCAAATGGAAAAGTTCCTGTGAGCTTATATTTGCAATTAGCAATTATAATACATATTTTATTACTCACTTCTTGGCAGCAAATCTTTGTCCCAGAGACTAGTGTGAGCAAATACAGCTCTCAGCAGCCATGAAACATAGGACCATTTGGGGTTTCTTGTATGATCTTGATCTGCTCAGTCTCCTGGCCAGGTCCTCATGCCTTGTCTTAGCTTAGCAACCTTCTCCCCAAAGTCAGCAGAAGGTGTTCTTGAGTAGAGACAAAGGGTTTGGCTGAGAGTTTTCTTTGTGTGCATCGTGCTCATTTCAGTGGCTGTAGATTATGTGTTTCTTGTTTGCATGTCATGCTATTTAAGCTTTTAATTGTGATTACTGATACTGTGAATTACTTTGTTTTAAATAGCAGTTCGAAATACCTCCCAAACAAAAATAGCATAATTGTTATCGTTTTAATCTTTTATGAGTAAATAACTGCCATATGACTTTTTTTTTTTTTTTTTTTTAAGGGGAAAAATAGCAGTGCTCTTATCTTAAACATGTCATGATCTATTGCTGGTGGAGGGAGGGAAGAAATCCACGTGGTTTGTAAGGAAACAATGTGGTGATTTTACATCTGTTATTACAATCCCATGCATTTGTGGGGATGTGACATACTTTCCAGTTTAATTATATTTGTGCAATTGCTAAAAGAAGTCTCGTACAGAACTGTCAGAAAAGCAGTTACAGTAAACAGTGGTAAACTTGTGGTGGTTTTGTTTCAGCTGTTTGCTTCTAATGTGGAAGGAAAGAGTTCTCCCAGCGAAGTGTTGGTCTGTACAACAAGCCCAGACAGGCCAGGACCTCCAACCAGACCTGTTATTAAGGGGCCAATAACATCTCATGGCTTTAGTGTGAAATGGGGTAAGCCAGTTCAGTTTGTCATAGTAGAGCTTTTCCGGGTCATAATAAATTCTAATAAAATTATGTAAAATGAAGTATGTATTAGAACTTAGATTTTTCATGCTGCTTCTCAGTCCAAAGTTGAATTTGTTTGGAGAGCTTTCCAACTTAATTTGTTTTAACATTTTAAAAATTGTGTGGAGACTCTTTAAGTTTTCAGAATCAAAAATGTAGATTGTTTTTATTGACTAACTGGCACTCAAGTGCATCTTCAGGCTTTTCACCTTACATTTCTTGTCCCATTGCAGCATCATTCCAGCCACTTCCTTCATCGATGGGACACGCCTCTATGCTGCATCTTTTTGAATGCTTTTTCCATAATTTTGTTTGTAGCATTATTATCCAGCTGCCTTATTCTGACTCATGCTGGAAATTAATGTCTGCTATATACTTCTACTATAAATTCCTTAGTGTAGTTAGTGTGGGGGACTTTGCAGAGGAGAAGGAGCAGAATCAGAGAAGGCTTCTGTAAGCTTTTTGTTATATTTCACTCCTAATCTTGAAAACTTACCTTATTTTTTTCAGATCCTCCGCAGGATAATGGTGGTTCGGAAATCCTGAAGTATCTACTAGAGATTTCTCAAGGAAGTCCAGATGGTAAAATTGAAACAAGTTGCCTCCATTTCATTCCATTACAGCTGCTATAAAGAAATTCTGACCTTTTGGGCTATTACTCTTATTATCATTAATGCACTAATGCTCTACATATGGTTGAAACTGAGTCATGTACATGCAGGTTTCATGGGAGAGTTTGGGTTGGGTTTTGGGGAGGTTTTATTGTGGCTTTTTTTAAGTATGCTCTTTTTCTTTTCTACTAGTAGAATTTTAGGTTCTATTGCTGAGCCTACTGTTTGACTTCATATATTTAATATGTTTTAAAAATATTTGTGTATGTGTCTATGTGTATGTATGTCTTTTAAAATAGAATACCATTCATAGTAATTTTAACACTAATGACTTCCCTTAAATACATCATTTATGGATGACCACAATAAGGATTTTCCTAGACACTCCTGAGCTTGTTGCATTTTACTTCTCTAAACTTGGATATATCTCCTTTTTTAGCAAATCAATGGGAAGTGGCATATAGTGGATCAGCTACAGAATATACCTGTACTCACTTGAAACCAGGCACTTTGTATAAACTCCGGGCATGCTGTATCAGCACTGGTGGACACAGTCAGGTAGGTATTGTTTAACATAAGGACTATTGGGTTTATATATTTCAGAGGTTTATCTCCTATTTTTGGTAAAAGATTTCTGCTTTAAAAATAAGGTGAATATTTTTCCTGTAGCACAGTAAAGCTACACTTTACTGATTACACTTAATCTTATGTTGCAAGTTGGTGAATTTTGTAAGACTTCTGTCTACCTAATGGATTTTTTTCAGGCAGATTGCAATTTAGTGAGATTGGGTTTCTTCAAAACCAAACAGTAGGTGTTTATACTTAACACTAGAAAAGACCATGCTGTTTATCTGATGTGGCCACTTGCTTGAGAAAGGCCGTGGACTTTGATGTACATGAGCCTGTAATGACAAACTGGGCATGCAGTAGGGGTAGTTTGTTGTAATAATTAATTACCTTTCACATGGCTGAATTCTTCTTTAAATTTTTGTATTCCATTTTCCAGATGCTGATTCCTGTCGTTTCCTCCTTTGAATTAAAATAATTTCAGTGCCTACACTTTTATTCCTCCTGCTTTTTTTTTTTTTTTAATGATTGAGTACTTTAGGCCTTGATATTATTTTAAAAACAAGGGAAATTTAAATTAAGAACCCAATAACATTAGCCATCAAAGTTGCCTATGCTACAGTTGTGAGTATGCTAATGAAGGAACTCTATTATAAATTGCATTTGTAAGTAACATGCTTGATAGCATCTCCTAGCCTTTATTGCTTAATATAAATTTCTAATGAGTGGTTGCTTTAGAAAACAATTCCTTACGCCACTTTCTAATCTTGCGCCACTTCGTAGGTGGTAATTGTACCAGAGAGCTAACTTCATCTCTTGTTCTCTTCCAGTGTTCTGAAAGTTTACCTGTCCGTACACTAAGTGTTGCACCTGGTCACTGTCGGCCACCAAGAGTGTTGGGGAAGCCGAAGCACAAAGAAGTACAGCTACAATGGGGTAAGCTGTTAGAGCATTTCACTGTTGAATAGCTTTGATCTTGATGGTTAGTTGCTGAACTTCCTTCAGCTTTCATTTCTGTTGTTAGACCTTGTGACTAGTTGCAGTGTATTCTGTTCACTAAGTATGAAGCAAAGTCACGTGAAGTCTGCGCAAGTCGGAAGTGCATCTTCTCATCGACCGCTGTGACTTTGTATTGGGTTTCTGAACTTAGCTGTCCTCCAGTGGTCTTTTAGGCCTAATACTGTGCTCCTGTTTTTATTTTAGTTAGGACCTGTCTCTATATCAGATCTATATAGTATCAGCTATTTTAGAATATCTGTCCTTTTATTGCAAAACCACCATGTGTTTCAAGATCTTTTTTATTCCTTTGCGATACTAACTTAGCAGAAGCGGGTTGCTGCTTCTAATACAGGACTTACACAGGGAAGATTTAGGTTAGATATAAAGAAACTCTTTACTGTGAGGGTGGTGAGGCACTGAAACAGGTTACCCAAGGAAATTGTGAATACTCCGTCCCTGCCAGTGTTCAAGGCCTGGTTGGATGGGGTTTGGAGCAACCTGGTCTAGTGGAAGGTGTCCCTGACCATGGCAGGGGGGTTGGAATGAGATGATTTTAAGGTCCTTTCTGAACTGTTTTATGATTCTATGACTTGTCTCAGAAATTCGAGTTAGAACATTTTGAGGATTTTGGGTGCCTTTTAAGCCGTGATCCACAGTATAACATGCAGAGTCAATTGGACGCCTGTAATTTTGCAAAGAAGTTGGACCATGGATATGACACCAGACTGTAAAAAAAAAATGCGCATTTTTAGAATACAAGGTGCATGCCAATATCCAACAGATTTTTTTCTTTACCATGATAATCTTGCAGCATCAAAGATTCTTTGTTGTATCATTCATTAAGCTAAATTCTAGAGCAGTACCATTTCTAACTGAGAAATGCATCTCAACACCAGTATAAATTCACCTGTGCGTCCAAGATATCATGTTTTTTCCTGGAATGTTTCCACCATCCCTCATATGCTGGAGCATTGCTTTTCAGAACCCCAGACAGGTTGATTCTGCGGTACTGGCTTGTAAAATAACATGCAAATAGTGTCAAATATGTTTCTTTCATGGAGAAAAAGTTGCCCACAACAATACAGATACAGACATAGTAAACAAATCTAGCTTTCCAAGAAGCTTATTCCAGGTGAAACACAGGGTTTAGATCATTCTGCAGAGATGCAGAATCTCATAAATGTTAGCAGTGTGACTAATAAAGTTCAAGGCTGGCGTTTGTTAGTACTTTTACTGGGTGCTAGTGGGGCTTTGCCAGAAATCCCATGTGTAAGTAGTAGTTTTGGAGTGTACATGACCCACCTCAGCCTGTTTCCAGTTATAGCCAGCAGCCAAGATTGGGTCAGACAGCCACCATGTGCCCCCTCATTTTTCTGTCCCAGAAAGGGTGTGTTCCACGCTAGTCCTATGCTTCATGCAGCTTCCTATACATTTGTCTCCTGCCTCACTGAACAATTTGAGACTGGGGAAAAGCAGCAGAGTACCTTTCTTTCATCCTCAGAAGAGGATAGTAACTAGTGTGTTCTGCTTAAAAAGTAGATGGGCACCTCCTGGCGTCAAATACAACTTCTCAAGGTAACAGATCATTCATTGCCTTGGGGGAGCTGCTTCTCATGCATGTGGTGATCTGAACTGATGAATATGTAGGACTAAGAGTAATTTTATTTATTTGCTTCAAAATTCTCAATCATGTACATAGTTGAGATATTGCGGGTAAGGCATCTATTGAAGAGGAAAATCATTCTTGGCAGTGTGCGTGTGTGTAGATATATATGTGTGTGTGTATACCTATACACATATACATATATATACCTCTGTGGTATATGAAATAAAAAATTAACCTTCCAGGCATGCATCCGTTGTTCTTAATGAATTACATGATTTCTTTCTAGATGTCCCTCCATCAGAAAGTGGCTGTCCCATCTCAGAGTATAGCGTAGAAATGACAGAACTTGAGGAATTAGTTTCTGAAGTGTATCATGGGCCTGATCTGGAGTGCACTGTCAGCAACCTTCTTCCTGGAGCAACATACCGGTTCAGAGTGAGAGCTCTGAATGATGGTGGGGTACGTGCAGCATGCTGGAGTGTGCTTCGTCTTTTTCTCGCTGTGGTACTGTTCCCAAGATAGGCAATTCTGGAAAGTTACTGTGTTAATGCTGGTGATCAGATAGATGAAGGCAAAAGAAAATAAAGTGAGAAATGCTTAAAGGAACTTTTGAGGAAGAGCTGCAGTTTTAAATCTGGTACTCTTTTAAAAGGAAATTTTAGCTAGTAATATGATTTGACTGGCCAAAATCAGATGCACCAAAATCTGCAAAATCCCTGCTAAAAGTCGTATCTGCTTATGAGGAGACGTCTGTGTATTCCCCTTCCACTGCATTCTTCCTTTTTGTTTTAAATCTTAACTGTGTAAAAACAGTTACTGAAGTTTCACTCAGGTATTGATATATTTTGGGGAAAGCTTGCGTTCTTAATGGTTTGTTTGGGGGTTTCTTTGATAAATGATTTCCTTGGAAGATGTACCTTCCCAAATACCCCACAAATTCTAGCTGATGTCCACAGAGATCTGTTGAAAGATTTTGTTGATTCAGTTGGGTTTGGATTGGTTCTGCTTGGCTTTGTGAGAGCATCTTTCCAAAGGCCTTTTATAAAAGCAATCCCAGCAATAGTACACACATGTTGATGTGTTTATTCCAAGGAAATCTTGATGACAAACATAACAAGAAGGTTTAAAGTTATTCACTTACATGGAGTTCTGTTAAAACTTAAGTTAGTTATTAGAAAAATATACAAGACTGTTAAACTGTTTTGTCTTTAAAATGTCCACTGTTTTATTTTTATGAAACACAAAGTAAATACATGTGGAAGGATTGGATTTGCTTGCTGGAATGGAAGCCATTGTCTACTTTGTAGCTTTGGATATATGATGCCTTCCTTTCCCCCCCCCCCCCACTTTTCTTAATGGTAAAACAGTGTTTAAAATTGCAAAGCTTTCCTAGTCTTGCCCTTTGTTAAATGAGGTGGCTGGTTTGGGTTTGATTGAAGTTTTTTACCAACCAAGATGCAGAATAGAGGAGGATGTCCTTTTCCAGTTGCAAACACCTTTCTTCCTCCCATTCAGTAAAGAAAATGGGAGTAGTCAATAAATGAGATTTTTTGGAGTGTGCATTCTTTGTCATTCAAACAAAGTGATCAATGTTAGTCTTTCTCAATAGCATAAATATTGATACATTCTGTTGAGGTTTTCTGGGGTTCATAATTTCAGTGTTGTTCAGCCCTTGTAGTGGCTCATTTTTTTCGCACTTGCTAGTGTTGCATTCCAAAATAAGTAAATACCAGTGTTTTTCCTCTCATTGTTTCCAGCAAAGTTCCTTTGTTCTGGAGAATGACTTTTAATTAGCTTGGGGATGGGCTGAACAAACTTCATTACCCCACTGAAGAAGCCTCAGAAAGGCTATTTCTGCTGTTATCTCTCCCGTCCTCACACTGCTGGCTGAATACATTTTGCCAGACTCTTGAAAATTGTCTTTTCTTTTGCTAACATGCATTTAAATTATTCTCCTACTGAGGGCTCAAAAGTTGCCCGAGCTTCTGGCTTAGCTGCCTGTGGAGCTAGGCTATACATAGACACAAACTGTCCCTCAGTTACTCCGTTGCTGAGTGTATGTTCTCACTCTTAGGTAAATTGGAGGTGGCTTAGGCTTTGAGGGGCCCTCATTGCCTCACAGGAGGATGTATCTGCTGTTTGCTCATACCTGAACTTACCTCACCTTTTAACTTTTAAGTAATTTACATATCTCATACTGAACTCTGGTGCCAAGTGTTGGAAGCCCAGTCTGCCTTTGAGAAAGTTTGTTGCATGGAAAAAGTTTGTGTGCGGTTCTTGGAAAGGCTTTGAGGAATGTGAGATGTGTGTATGCTTATGTATTAATGTACAGACACCTTGTTCCCCTCTAGTACGGGCCATATTCAGAAGCTACAGAAGTCACCACAGCAGCAGGACCACCTGGCCAGTGCATAGCACCTTCCTTGTCATTTCTGTCTGACACATGTGTACTTATAAGCTGGGAGGTAAGTCGGGTGCCCTCCTTGTTTCTTTTCCATCTTGCTTCTCCAAACTAATATGGTCACTTGAAAGCTAGATTGAGAGCTGTTCACTGGTTTGGAACTATTTTTCTGCAAGAAAACTCTATGTGGAAACTCTTCGGTTGTAGAGAAGAGTCTTATCTACTTTTGTCTTTAAAGAATTGCATAAAGTTGATTATGAGTCATCTGGACCGGGATTCAGACACGAGACCTCCTACACTGGCATCAGATGATAGAGGGCTGGCTGAGTAAAAGTGCTCTCTGCAGGCTTTTAGCATGTTGGCATGTCCTGGGGTGGAATTGTGAAGGCAAATATTTGATTTTGGCTGTAACTGGAGTCTCCAATATGAAAATAACTTTGCACAAATGCTTGTTATGTAGTTTTTTTCTTCAGAAAGTGTTTGTCTCTTCCCCAAATATTTACTTTCATTTTAGTTTGTGTGCGTTCCCTCTCCATTCTGCAGGATCTTGGACATTGTACTCAAAATAAGTCTTAGCTGAAGTGCTGTGAGGGGTTAATAATTGTCCAATTATTACACCAAAAAAACAGCATGTAATTAAGGAAGAAAGGAGAGGATGTTGTCATAAAGAACATGATATGGAGCAGTGGGGCTATAGTTCTGCCATAGACTTCCTTTGAAAACCTAGCAGCCATTCCAGCCCGGGATCAGTTGGGTTCTTCCGCAAAGGGATGCCCCTGTGAGAAGGAAGTTGTTAACATTCATCAGATGCTCAAATGAATTGATTGTGCTAACGACCATTTCTAGATACAAACATAAACTGAGTTTAATTTTATAGTGAAATAGGTGCAGTTTGTGCATGTTGAGGGTATTTGTTAGTATTTCTTGCAACATTTTGTGACACTAAGCTAGAAGTCATACTAAACTTTTAAATACTACCTGTTAGTGAGAGTATGAATGTACAGGCATGAGCCAACGCAGCAGTGTTTCTGGTAGGTTCCATGTTTATATGCAGGATATATTTGTTTGTTCTAGCTAAAAATGAAGCTGTGGAAGGATTCATGTGGTTTGCAATGGTTATGTTTTCTTAAAGAGTCTACCATTTTTTTGGCTGATACGAAGGAAGGACAGTGGAGGACTGTGATGTTTTTTGTCTGGCTACAGAGCACATCATGGTGCTCACTTTGTCTTTTTTGCACCTTGTTTTAAAACACTGGCTTAGCAGTTCTGAACACTGCTACTAAAATAGCTGGAAGCTCAGAGGCAGAGCTAGAGAAGCCCATGTGTGTGTGGAGGGTGGTCATTACGGCGTGTGATGCTCTGGATCTATTTACTGAAAATCACACCTTGCATGCCATAATCACAAAGTCTTGTCGTATCCTAGGCCACAGTTCTGCACATATATCAGTGATGCCCTGAGCTGCTGCAATCCACACAGTACATCTTTAGGTAGTTCTGGTAAAAACACAACATGTTTTGGTTTTGGAACCTTGTTATTATTGCTGCAGTAGCTCATCCCCAGCAAATTCAGGTATTTATTCCATGTTCCCCTAGACTTCAGGATGATAAAGGAATTGCTGAGTACACATGGATCTTGTAGGAGTGGCATTGTGGACGTTAATGTACCCAGGTTCACAGTCCCATGTCCCATAATGGGACCATTCATTTGATGGGTGACTTTCACTGAAAACTGCAGACAAGCTCCTCACTTTTTGAGGTTCTTTTCTCAGTAACGTGCATAACTACCTCAGCATTGACAGGTAGCTCTTTCAGAGCTGTGTTTTGATCACTCGGCTAGACTACACTAGATTGATGCTTTTTTGTATTCTGCACGATTGTGCTTCTGCCAAGCCAGTGGAGAGGCAATTTATTCCTGAGTATCCAGATAAAAAGCAAAGTAGCTGTGTACACTTTCTCATTTCTCTGAATTTCTATCAGGTAATTTCTGCACAGAATTGGCGTGTTTCAGTAACCTAGTAGAGAACACTCATTCAGGACGTTTCCAGTTGCAGCAGTAATGGTGTATTAATTTAAAAATAAGTTGCTTTGTTTGTTTCCCATGTACTTTATTCCATACTCAGTGAAACACAGAGATCCGAACTGCTCATTTATGAACTGAACCACATAAATATTTGTGTTGCAGAATCTTGAATGTTCTGGTGCTGACATCTCTGAATACAGATTAGAGTGGGGAGAAGATGAGGAATCTCTAGAACTGGTATATAATGGCACAGACACCTGTTTTGAAATAAGTGATCTGTCAGCGGCAGCGCATTACTGCTGTAGGCTACAGGTATGGAAGTTACAAGGTTTTGCATGTGTTGAAATCTAACACATAAATGGTTTCTTTCCGCTGTGTTTTTGTTTTTATCATTAGCCACTATGAGATTATGTGCTCTGTAAGTCAGAAGGTGTGCTTATTTTAAATAGTGCAGACTGTTGCTATATAAGTGAACAGGTCAGATTTTGCACAATTCAAAGTGATAAACAAGAGAGTCAGTGTAACTTTTACCTCTCAAAAGTTGCTCTTGTGTATCGTGTGGTTTATTTCAGTAAATAATGCTTTTAACAGCTACTTTGCCCTCTGATATTGAAGCAAAATGTTTTAGAAAATTAAAAAGAATAGTTTTTTCTAATGAGATGTAACATCTACCTCCCAACTGGATGTTGAAGATTCTCTTAGCTTAAATAGTAAACTCCAACATCTGTTTCATTTATCAAATAAAGCAAAAGAGCTGAGTAGATGCCTATGTATACAGGAGGTGGTAACTGCCAGAAAGTGAGTCCTCATCTTTACCGTTTTATCTCTTAGATTTGTAAGATCGCATCTCATACAGAGTCTCTATATGATTTCTTTTTCTTTGATCTCTTTCTCTCCTATTATTTTCAGTAAAAAGTAACAGAATATATTTCTTATATATATATATGAAAATAAATATACAGCACTTCTCCTTTATGTCTGCTGAAAAATAAATTAAAGTAGGTGGGAGTGAAGTAAAAATACTTTTTGCCCAAGACACTTTTCCACAAGATTTATTTCTATGTGAGGACAGAATACCACCAGTAATCCAACCAAAAGTTCATGTACCCACCCAGCTGGCAACGTGTGGACCACCCAGGGTTATTTCTTTGATCAAGGACAACATGCTTCTGTTGAGTGTTTCCTTCTTGGGTTTGGTTTGGGTTATTTTTAATCGGACATAGATTATTTTTTTTAAGTTTTTTTTTATTTATTTATGAAGTAGCCTTTGAGCAGCTGAACAGCAGCCAAGGACCTAGGGCCCCATGCCTCTGAGTACACTCAACTTTATTTTCTGGTCATGGCTGACTGTCTACCTTGGACTGGCACTGTTGAGGAAGGCAAATTGAAAGAGCATGTGTGAGTGCCTTGGAAGTGTGAGCCAGAAAGTACTTCTTGTTTGTGAAAGAGGGAAAGCATTCAGCATCCACTGGGCAGGAAGGAGACCGTGAGACCACTTCTGCGGTGAGCAGCAGGGAGCTCAAGGAGATTTTCATGTTAAAAATGGAAACAGCTGGCTCTATAGCACCTTTGATTTTGAGTGGGCATTCATTTTAAATTACCTGCCACAAAAATGTTGCACAAATGTACCCAGTTTCTAACACAGCCAATATAATCTAATTCAAAGGCAGAAGTTAAATGAAATGTACAACACCATTAAGACATTTTCTTGAAGTCCATCAGTGACCCGTGCATTACTTTCTAGAGGGCTTCATCCTCTGGATCTCTGTGTATTATATGGAGAAGATTTGTTATACGATACGCTGGAACATTTAGACAATAACACACAAAAAAAGAACAAAGTATGTGTACCAGACAAAGAAAGAAAGCCGAATAGTTACAGAAATTTTAGTCTTTCCAAATAAAAAATGAGAGATGGATAGCTGGTTTTCTTATCTGTTAGCAGCTTTAAAAGAAAAATCTTTTACTTTTTAGAAATAAAGATAGTCCAAACCTCATTGGCTTTGCCTTCCAATAAACACACAGTATTGCTACCTCAGTCTACAGTAACTCAATAAAAAAGAGGAATTGAGGAATCAGGCATATATAACTGCAGGGCAGACAGTTATCTTTACTGTTGCTCAACTTTTTTCCTGTAATGAATATTCCTGAAAAAAAATGTGAATTCTGCAAAGGGAAATATTGTGTCATTAAAGTGTGGGGGGGAGGGTGTATCTCAGAAGCAAAGAATAATAAAATTCCCATTGGTTATGATGATGACATTCTCCAATAAAGCAGTTAAAAGCACCATTGAAAATAAATTGCTTGGAGCAAGATACGGATTGCCAAATGCTGGTTTAGAGGTAAGACAAATAATATCATTGGCAAACCACAAAACAAGGCTCACTTTTAACAGCTCTAGGAGTGCTTCACTAAACAAAAGATGACCCTGGAGCAGGATTTGTTTTAAAGGGCTTCTTAAAGGATGACAAATCTAACTTTATTATCTCTTTCTTCAATTGAACAAAATGCCTCCTGGAGAAACAGAATACAGGTTTGCGTTTGTATTATACATAGCAGAAATAAGTCGTTCACTACAGTTAAGCATAGATAAGAAATCAAACAATTGTTTGATATGTCCTTTCATTGCCATCATAGTCCTACTGGCAGTGATGTAAACCTGGGTTTTCTAATTAATTCTCATCTGGTGGGAGGCTCTGGCCTCACTTTTCCAAGTGCGAAGGAAATGAAGATGGTGGACCATGCTGGGCAATGTAAAAGCTGCTTTTGAAGGTCTGTGCCTTCTGGACCTCCTGTAGCTCAGCCTGTATATAGGTCTGTGTGTACCTCAGGGGCTAGCAGCATGCTAGTATCAGGAGGAACCCAGCTCAAGGGGAAGTGGTATTGCTCCTTACATGCCATTCATGAGAACCTAGTGGATCTAGGTTAGAGGTTATGAGTCCTGCTTTAGAGAATAAGCCAGTGGTGCATCTCCTCTGAAGAATCTGTGCAACTCTTCCAGGTTGCACAGTTCATTATTATGAACTTGATAGACATGTGAAAGAGAATATTTATCCTGTAAAAATATATTATTTTTTTTTTAACACACAGGCTATTAACCAGGCAGGAGCTGGACCTTACAGTGATCTGGTAACCTGCCGAATCCCCGCATCTGTGCCTGATGCAGTCTCTATGCTCTCCGTGGTGGAGGATGAGCATGTGGATGCCTGTCAGCATTCACCCTCTGTGTGCCTTGTACTGAACTGGGAAGAACCATGCAATAATGGAGCTGAGATTACATCATACAACATTGACCTGGGTAACATCAGCATTCCAGTAGGAAATGTTACAAGTTATGTTATCACTGATTTACTTCCAGAAACCTCATACCGGTGAGTACAACTTTTTTCGATGTGGTACAGAGCTCTGAGGATGAGATCACACAGCTTAATTTTACGTAGAAAATGTTTATGGCATATGGATTCAGTTAAATAAAAAAAAAAAAAAAACAAACAAGTAAACCAGCAAGCAAACCAACCAACCTGGGGAGAATGGAAATCTGCAATAATTCCTTTATGGAATGAGTTGTGGTAGTTCATGTTCAAATATTGCTTTCTTCCCCCCCTTTTTCTTCTTTCTTCTCCCCTTGCATATCTCTGACCTTTTCTTTTTAAGTTGCTCTTTGAAGGTAAGGTTACACTGGTAGGTAAATAAACTTTAAAAAAGGGAAAGTACTAAAATTACAATGGGACATCTTCTGGTTTTTCAGATATATAGCATTACTATTTCAGGGGCTTATATTGCTAACTATATTGACCTCTGTGAGGGGATAGCAATGTGCATGAAATGAACTTTAATTTGTATAGCAACAGATATTTTTTTGGTTTAGCACATGGAGATTAATAAAAAGATAATCTGAATTTTAAACTAATTTCTTCAGAGTCTAAAGTTCTAACTGATATTGCCAACATTTTAGTATTATTATTTTAATGTGCAGACTTAATGTTTTTTCCCTAACTGCCAATTAAAGAAAAAAAATGGGTCCAGGCAGACAATGAACAGCAATTCAGCAGAAGATGTGACAAAAGAAATTCTATTTTAAGTACTGTTCTAATAAAAACTGAAATCTGGTTATCTGATTGCCCATTTGTAAAATTAGACATGGCACAGATCTTCTGTAGCATGTTTCTTTTTTCTTTGTATTCAGTGTCAAAATCCCACAGGTCTTGTGAATTTTTAATGAAAAGCTTATTTCTCAAACTTTATCATGTACCCGAAACAGATAATTTCTTGTAGCAAGTACACAAACATGTGTACTAGAAGTTTTTTAAAGTGTGGAACTTATATTGCTTCCAGTGCCTAGTACAGTAGTTCCTTATCTTTGCCTAGAATATTTAGGTTTTAAAACCGTGTAATAAAAAATAAAGATGTAGATTTATATTTTTATA